TCCTGGAGCAAAGGAGGCTCAGGGGGGACCTTCTGGCTCTGCAAGTCCCTGCCAGGAGGGGGGAGCCGGGGGGGGTCGGGCTCTGCTGCCAGGGAACAAGGGACAGGCCAAGGGGAAACGGCCTCAGGCTGGGCCAGGGGAGGGTCAGGTTGGATATTGGGGAAATTCCTTCCTGGAAAGGGTTTTCCAGCCCTGGCACAGTTGCCCAGGGCAGGGATGGAGTCCCCCCTTCCCTGGAGATTTCCAAGCCCTGTGGATGTGGCACTTGGGGACATGGGGCAGTGGTGGCCTTGGGGGAACAGTTGGACTTGATGTCTTGGAGGCTTTTCCAACCTCGGTGATTCCAGGATTCCCTGATTCCACCTGGTTTTGCTGCATTTCCTCACAGGAAGGTTCCAGTTTGCTGTTCAGCCTCAGCTGTTGGGTTTTCATCCCAGCCAGAGCCACTGGGATCACAGACACTTGGATCCCTCAGGGAATTCCATAAGGGCTCGGCGCTTGCCGGGATCTGTGGGATTAGTGGATCCTTTGAGAGTGGTTTAGTCCTTTCCTGTCCTGTGAAAACCTCAGGAGCCCCTTCCCAACCCTGGGAGGATGTGGCAGGAAGTGCAGTCAGAGCTCAAGGATCTTCCCGTTGGTCTGGGAAGTGGGAATGTTGTCCCCAAGCCCTGCAGTAAGACTTTGGGATACAACACTGGGATCATCATGGAAATGAAGGGCTCATCCCCAAGCCCTGCAGTAAGACTCTGGGATACAACACTGGGATCATCACGGAAATGAAGGGCTCACTGATGGTTTCCAGACCTTGGCTCTTGTGCAGAGGATCCCTGGGACACTTGGTGACCCTCAGGAAGGACAGGAATTGGGACTGGGGGTGTTGGGTCATCCCTGTTGAGGGTGGTGTGATCCTTGTGGAGATCTAATGGAAAACTGGGAACAAGGCCCAGCAGGGTCTGGAATTTGGATTATCCCAGTCTCTTAGAGGAGCCTTAGGAATTTAAACACTCAGGAGCTGATTTTAATTCCCTGCCCCAAGGAATGGGGGGTGAGGAGCAGGAAAGGCCTCGACTGCACAGACCCTGCTCAGGAATAATTAAAATATCCATGTTGTCCACCCTGTTCCCAACAGGGGGTTTGGTGCCTCCAGGATGGGGTTTGGTGGCTCTGAGAGGAGGTTTGATTCCCCTAGGATGGGATTTTATGCCCCCAGGAGGAGGTTTGGTGCCTCCAGGATGGATTTTGGTGCCTCCAGGATGGGATTTGTTGCCCCCAGGCCTTCCTGGTGACCCAGCTCTGCCAGGTCTTCTCCCACAGCTGGAGCTGGAATTCCTCCTGTGGGACAGCCCAGACTGAGGGGTTTTTAAGGCCAGGAAGTGTCCAAATTGCACAACCAGAGCTGTGGTGGCTCCTCAAAAGGTTTAAATTCTGCTTGCTGAGATTTAAAGTCGTTGGCTTTGGCAAAAATCTTTGGGTTGCCCTGGATGGGCTTTAAGGTCCCTTCCAAGCCCAAGCATTCCATGATTTTTGTGACCATGAGGGTCCCAGCTCCTCCATCCACTGCCTGCCATGGATGTTGAGGACACTGGGAGCAGTCATCCCTCCAAACCTGCTCTCCAAGAAGAGGATTAATTCATGTTGAAGTCCATTTTTAGAGCTTCTTTCCCACTCCCTGTGACCAAGTCCTGGGACTCCAGGCAGTGTCACTCCCCCTGTCTCCGTGTGTCCCCATCCTGGATTAAATGACGCTCCTGGGATTTGTTCCACAGGGATACAGGTCTTAATTCAGGATTCATTTTCTTGTTTGCTGAGCCTTTAAGGCCCCGGTGACACTTTCCCAGCTCGTGTCTCACGACGTGCACTCGCTGCAGGTTCCAGCCCACGGGAAGGGCTGTGCCTGGAGTGACACGTGGATGACACGGAGAGAACAGGCTGGGAGCTGGGATCTGCTCCCTTAACTTCCTCTGAATGCCCTGTCAGGTGACATCTTGGATTATATCCTTGCCCAGAGAAACTGTGGCTGCCCCTGGATCCCTGGAAGTGTCCAAGGCCAGGTTGGACGGGGTTTGGAGCAACCTGGGCTGGTGGAAGGTGTCCCTGCCCATGGCAGTGGGTGGCACTGGCTGA